TAAGCTCGTGGTGGGTATTGCCTGTTACTCGGAGGGGACAGTAACTTGCTTTGGTTTGAAGTTCATTCCCTGCAACAGCCGCCTGAAGCTCTGCAGTCCAAATTCTCGTGTACTTGCTCCGATCCGGATAAACAGTCGACGTCGCCTATCCAAATGCCACTTGCACAAGAGCCATTTTAAGCCCAGTCTTAGAAACCTGCCCAAAGATTGAAGGTAATACCGAGCTGCAGCTTTGAGCTGAAATTGAACTCATCTGCCACATCATACGGGTAGCTGTCTAGTGCCTGTAGCTCCAAAAGACTCCCGTTTACGAAGTGAAGTCAGAGACGCATTTCTGATGGGAATAATTTGCATGCTCGTGGTATAAAAAAATACCTCGTTTACATCGGTGTTTAAGGAAACGACTAACGTTGCGGAGAACAAAGAAGGTGAAATAGGACACAGGCAGTTCCCCGTGAGATTAAAACTACGGAAAGGTACTGCCCTAAGGCAGTTGTAGGTGAGGTGGTTTCGTTCCTTGTATAGTTTTATGTAGCTGTTTTGGCCCAAGTCGCTGCTAGATCAACCCCCACCAATGTTAGTGGCCTGGGATTTAGAGCTCATCGTAACTCTCGCACTCGTTAATTATTCTGGGTTTTGGATGTGGGTGAGAGCGAGACCGCGCAGGACTTCATCGGGGCTGCTCCCCCTCAGGATTAAATCCACCGGAGGAGACCCGAGGCGGTATCATTTTAAAGGAGATGGAGGTTCCCAGGGGATGTAAACCTGTGGACTCTAGTTCAAGCATCCAGCAGACGCTTTGGCCACGTAGGGAAGGGCTTTTCGTGGTCTCTCAGGAGCTCGCGGGCAAATAACGGGTTTACATCCCATCGTGTCCAGTTCCTGCACGTTTGGGAGAGTCCCGCTAGGATCCGGCACTCCGGACAGCGTAAAGAATCCTTTTAACCCTGAATTTAAAAGGGAGAAGTCCGGGGGTGTTGGTGTGGAGGAAGCAGTTGGGCTGTGGCCATCACCTGCAGCCCCCTGGTACAGAACCTAGCTCGGGTTGTGGCCGAAGGAAACTTCTCCTGCTTGCATAGAGCATGCCCGTCTCGCCCCCCTCGTCAATGGAGGGCATTTACGTCTCCAGCCCCTGGCACCTCTCCCCACTAAAAGACGGCAAATATTCTATCGGCACTGGAATCGGTGTCCTTGCAGAAACGTCTCTGTAGGTGTAGCGTGGAGGTTGGTGGGAGGGTGTCCCTCGCTGCTTGCCCTCTGCCTCAGCACAGACGGGGCTGGCTCTCGCCCCTTGTCGGTGCAGGGCTCCCCCAAATCACGTTAGCCTGGGAAGCGGGGGGAATTACGGGCACGGTCCCTCCGCGCCCGAGGTGTCGTAGTGGCGTAGCGAGAGCCACAGCCGAGCCGTGGTCCGGCACACCTCCGCGAGAGGCAGGGTTGACGTAGTCTCCGTACCAAAGGGATGCGTCTGCAGTGAAACGGTTTTACGTGCAAATGGCTTCCAGCAGCCAGGGCTTGCCAAATAACTGCTGCTGAGCCGTGCTTAACACGCCTTCCTCCCCTGCGCACGTGGTATAGGGATGTGGAATCACATGGACACACACCAAAAACATGTTTATTTTTAACATTTGTTTCACGCTTTTCCTCCCCGTGGGAGTGGGCAGGCACATTTGCTAGAAACTTCTATTCTAGCGCAATTAGCTCGCAATCTTTTTTTTTTTTTTTTTTTTTTTTTCTTCTTCTTTTATCGAGGAAGAGTCTGCTGCAGTAGCATCTTCCCCGGGCAGTTTGTGAGACGAGCTGGGTCTATCGGCCTTTGCTGGTCCCTGGCGAAAGGCCGGGGACTTTCTTCCCCTGGTTCTGCTGTGCTTCAGCTGTTCCGGTCTCCGCTGCTCCTAGGGAGACGTATGTAGTTACGAGCAAGGAGGAGGTTCCCTGTCGTAAGTGCAGGGACTGGGATGCTTCACATGTAGGGGAAGGACGATAACCGCTTATAATACAACCGTAAATAAGCGCTCCCCAGAGAAGCGAACTCCGAGGTGATGGTCCTTCTTTTCCAGGAAGTTGTATGGAATATAATGAAGGTGCAGCATATAATTAAAGTTCAGATGCATTAATTAGGGAATCTGAGAGAGCTCGCTTGGAGATGAAAGAGTAGCAGGTGTGTTAGCGATGAGAAGTTGACATGCTAAAGAGGAAACCTAAAATCAAAAGCCCGTGAAGTGTTTCATGCTCTATTATTGCCGAATGAATCCGTAGTTCAAAGTCTTCCCGACTACTTAGCGCATTCAGTTTGATCGTCTGGGCATTGCTGCGTATTTTTTCTTTTACATCTTCTCATATCTACCTTGCCCTGCCCACTGATTTTGAGGAGGATGTGCCCCTGCAGGTAACACAAATACTGTGAAGAGCAGCAGCGTTTGAGTCTCGACAGGTCGAGTACCTCTGAGAAATGGTTATCGGCCACAAAGAGAAACATCCCCGTAGCCGTGTTTCTCATTAATGACGCGCTAGTAGCCGAAACAAGAGCGCTCAACTGAAAGTGTCAGAAGAATACTGACCTTTTTTTAGTAAAAGTCCTCGGTGAAATTCTTCATACCTTGAAGCTGATATTTAGCGATGCTGTTCTCCTTTCTTCGTATTGATCACTGTCTCGGAAGTCGTTTTTAACATCCTGCTGACGCGCATTCATAGAGGAAGAACGGTGAAGTTAACGGCCCTGGGAAGAAAGGGAGGTGCACTCACGTGCTGTTGATATGTAGCCCGTTAAGCACAGCGGGGCCCCTCACACAAACCTCCCACCTGGATTTTCAAACGTATACGTAGAAGACCAACAAAGCACCACTGTGTCTCTCTTTGTACATGTAAGCTGTTCGTTTTGTTGTGGAAAGCGTGCGGTTTATTTTTCTTATGCCTCTCCCATTCCATCTCTCTCTCTCATTGACTAATTTATGCTGGGTTTTATTTATTTTTTTAATTATTTTTTTTTAGCACTGTAGAAGGCAAAAAGGGGGAGCGTTTCGGGGCCAGATTCTCCAGCTAGAGTCAGTCCGCACGCAGCTCCCGAGATGCAGGTTGAGCTCGAAGCCGTGTCCAGCTGCTGAGGATCTGGCCCACTGTCCTTAAAGCCAGCTGGGCAGTCACCACCTGGTTTTAGAGGAGGAAAGACGTCCGACAGCCGTGCTGCTTCTTAGCGTCCTTGTTTTTCTCTGATCACGATTGATCGCTGTTGTGTTCTGCTTGGTTTTTCTTAATTTGCTTTTTTATTATTTTCCTTTTTATATTTTATCCAGATCCCCCCACAACTATCCCTCCTCCCACAACAACCACCACCACTACCACCACCATCCCTACCACCATCACAGGTATGGTACCTTCATAACCATTGGAAATGTCCTGAATGTTTATTGTCTTTTATGTATATAAGCAGAGCATGAAGCCTGGGGAAAAACAACAAACAAGTCACTTGCCTTTTTTTTTTGTTGTTGTTGGTTTGTTTGGGGTTTTTGGCTCTCAAATACACCCGCTGTGCAGCGTGAGTCCTGGTCCGGCGGTTGGACGGGACGGATAGTCCTTAATGCAGGAGTTTCTGAAACGCGGGAATCACCGCGGCAGAAAAAGCTCTTAATTCAGTTCCCGGGGGCTGGTAGCGGGTGCTTGCGAACGAAGGATACGGAGAGCCGTAGAGCTCCTTGAATACGGGCAGTCGTTTCAGCCGCAACCCCGTCAGTGTCAATTTCTGAGCAATTTACACTCGGAAGCAGAAAGTTTGGTCTTTAGTAATTTAATTTGCCTCACGTGACTCGAGATGCTTTTTCTCACGCCTAGGTGTTCGGTCTGTCTCTGTGATAAGCCCTCTGCCTCCCTCTCCCAGAAAAGCCCTTTTTTACTGAGCCGAACACCACCTGTAGGGCCCTTTTTGAGGAGCTGGCTTTTAGCATTTTGAGGTTTTTCCCTGCCTCGCGGGAAGAGAGGAATAAAACCAACCAGCTGATCACGAGACACCTCTCTCTCTCACACGCATCCGTCATATTGCCTCGCTAGACCCGACTCTCTCCACTCACAGGGAAGGCCTTTCTGGTTTCTGCATAATCATTTGCATTGCCATTTGTCTGATCTTTTCTATTTCGACTGCTGCTTTTGCTTTTCCTTGCCTCTTTTTTTCCCCCCCTCCCTCCCC